ATGACTGTAACTTTGTCACTTGTATCCTTAGGATTTATATTGACTGTTTCCTAGTATGGTTTGATTGCTTACTGTACCCTGTGACTATTATTAAGTGTTGGACCTTATGATTCTTGACTCTTGACAAATGTATTTTTTCTTTTATGTACACCAAGAGCATTTGCACAAAGACAAATTCCTTGTGTTTCCAATCACACTTGGCAATAAAGAATTCTATCTATCATATCTATTTTAGGCATTTTGATTCTAGACTTCAGCACACAGAATGTGTGTCGGAATTTGCTTGTATACTTGTCTGTGCAAAAGATACAGTCTGGTACACCATGCACAATGCTCTTAATACAGGTAGTCCTTGACTTACCAACAGTTCATTTAAGGACTGTTCAAACTTGCAACAGCCCTGAAAAAAGTGACTTATGACCGTTTTTCACACTTATGACCATTGCCACACATGATCAAAATCCAGCTGCTTGGCAACTGACTCATATTTATGACAGTTGCAGTGTCCCAGGGTCACATGATCCCCTTTTGCGACCTTTTGACAAGCAAAGTCAGTGGGGATGCCGGATTCACTTAACAACCGAGTGACTAACTTAACTGGAGAAGATTCATTTAACAACCAAGTCAAGAAAGAATGTAAAAATTCACTTAACAAATATCTCACTCAACAACTGGGCTCAACTGTGACGCTTAAGTCAAGGACTACCTATACAGAAAAATAATAATGCCCTATTTAAGGACTATATCCGTTGTTTTACTTTGGGAATACTGTACATCCCAGATAGAATTCTTTTTTGGCCGAGTGTGATTGGACATACAAGGAATTTGTCTTCATTGCAGCTCTCAATGTACATAACAGCTATAAAAGTGATAAATCATGATCAGTTGTCATAAAAATGCATTCATCGTGAGTCATAAGATCCAACATCTAGTGATCGAACCAACATGAAGCGTACCACGAAACTACAATACAAATTGTAAAGCTATAAGCAACAAAGTTCTAATCATCAGTAGAATATAGGTGAGAAGAATATTAATACAGTCTTCATACTAAATATATTACTGAATCTGTCTGCCAAATAACCATTTGAAAAGTTGGAATTTTGCAGTCATTCTACCCACCACCATCTTGCATCGAAAACTGACAGTTCCCTGGACATTTAGATGAGTTTATGACAGCCAGTAAGGATGAGAACAAGCGAATTTGCAAGCAACACACTTTCCTCTTTTGTGCATTTATACGGCAACTTTTGCTTCAATCCACACACAGGTCTGCCAATTCTCTTATTATTGAAACATACTCGTTGGCGGGAAGGATCCATCATTGCAACCCATTACATCCAAATCGTTGTAAATCTTTCTGAACCTCTAGCCTTGCATGTCACTTTTTAGATCAAAGCATTCCAAAAGCCAGATTATATGACTAGCTATATTTACTGCGGGCGTTTTTAACTATTACTGTTGGCCAGCGTGATTAGTTTACTTTATTGTCACTGCACCTCATACAAGGAAATCAAACACCATCTTCAGTGCACAGCATGACCATGACCATGACAATAAACACAAACACACCCTTCACCCTCCACACATTGAACCAAAAACCCCCAACACCGCACCACAACACTGCACTATACAGAAGAATGCAATGGAGCTACTGCCCTGGGATAGAAGTTGTTTTTCAGCCTATTTGTCCCTGTTTTTATTATTCTGTACTGTCTGCCAGATGGTAATAGTTCCCCCCCCTCCAAAAAAAAAGGGTTCCCAGGATGAGATGGATCTTTGAGAATGTTTTGAACTTACTTAAGGCAGTGGGAGCTATAAAGATCTTCCCAAGAGGGGAGAGGGCAAGTAATGATCCCTCTGGGCAATGACATTTAACCCTCTTGGAGCGCTTTCCTATCTGCCCTTGTGCAATTGGCAAACCATACAGAGGTTATTATTATACAGAGGTTAGGTTATTAATTAAAAGGCATGCAAATGAAATAATCTCAGGCCTGTGAAGTTTTTCCATCTCGAGACTCACAACTCCCCCCCCCCCCCAAAAAAAGGTGTCTCACCATTTGCTTCCGCTGAAGCAGCCGGTTCGTCATGAACTTCCTCGTTCGGATGGTGACCGTATCGTTCTATAATAAAGCAAAACAAACATTCAACGAGGCATTTCATGTGCTCACATAACTAATCCAAAGAATCCCTCTTTTCCAAATACCAACCACCTCAAAAAACCTCCAGGTGAATGTGCAGAGTTACCAACCTCTGGATGTGTTGCAAAGTTGGGGGTCAATTTAGAGAGCCATGTTAGAGCAACATGTTCCCCCAACCTGGTGCCCCTCAATGCTGGAGAGCAGAATAATAGAATAATCTGGTTGAAAGGGACCCTGGAGGTCATCTAATCCAACCCCCCCTCCCTGCCCAAACAGGAGACCGTACACCATTCCTGACAGATGGCAGTCCAGTCTCTTCTTGAAAGCTTCCAGTGATGAAGCTCCCACAACTTCTGAATAACAGAACAAAATAACAGAGTTGGAAAGGCCCTTGTAGGTCATCTAGTCCAACCCCCCCACCTCCGCAGGAGACCCTACACCATTTATTAACAGTTGGCAGGGACCTTATAGGTCATCTAATCCAACCCCCCTCCCCGCCCAAGCAGGAGACCCTACACCATTTATTAACAGATTAACAAGGAAGGGATCTTGTAGGCCATCTAGTCCACCCCTACCCAAGCAGGAGACCCTACACCATTTATTAACAGATTAACAGGAGTTGGAAGGAACCCTGAAGGCGATCTAATCCACTCCCACCCAAGCAGGAGACCCTGCACTATTTATTAACAGATTAACAAGAGTTGGAAGGGACCTTGTAGGTCATCTAGCCCAACCCCCTACACCACTTCTGACTGGTGCCAGCCCAGTCTCTTCTTCAAAGCTTCCAGTGTTGAAGCTCCCACCATTTCGTGCAGCTGAGATAAATAAAACAGGCGGAGGGAGAGAGGCTGATCCAACGCAGAGAACCGGGGACCCACGGCGTTGGCATCTTCGCCCCCTTTCCTCCACCCCATAACCCCCCTAAAAGACTCCGCAGCCCCCGCAGAAGGGAAAGCGGGCGGCCCGGAGTCCGCAGGGCCAAGGATGGCGCCTGGGCAGGACGGATTGAAGGAGCCCCTCGGTCCCGAGAATCCCCAGCGCCAGCGCTCACCATCTTGGCGGCCTCCCTCGCAGCCTCAGAGAGAGTGAAAAGAAGGAAGGGACGTTCGGTAGCCAATCATATGCCGCAGCGGGAAGGAAAAGGAAGAGCCGTCACGGGAAAAAGGCGGGATTTCCGCCAGCCGAGGGAAAAGGTCTTCCGGGAAACCAGCGAGTGGAAAGGGAAAGAGAGACCACTTATTAGTTCTCCTCATTCTATCAGGTTGAATGTCAAGACGTATGAATTATTTAAACCAGGAGTCCCCAAACTTGGCAACTTTAAGA